TGTAAACCACCCAGACTAGAGCACTTTGTTGGATGGCTGAATTAAAGAGTATTACCTCGGGCTCTAGGTAGACCTGGTTTTAAGTCTTTTGTTTGCACTTGCTAGATAGTGGCAAGTTACTTCACTGAGGCTGTTTCTTCAATTATAAATAAAAATAAAAGTACCTCAAAGGGTTGAAGTGTTCTTTTTTTTTTTTTAAGATTTTATTTATTTATTTTAGAGAGGGAGCACAGAAGAAGCCGGAGGGGCAGAAGGAGAGAAAGAGAATCTCAAGCAGACTCCATGCTGAGCGCAGAGCCTGACGGCAGGGCTTGATCCCAGGACCCTGAAATCATGACCTGAGCTGAAACCAAGAGTCAGATGCTTAACCAACTGCACCATCCAGGCACCCCAGGTTGAAGTGTTCTTGTGAAGACTTATTAAGACCATATCCATAAAGTGTCAAATTATTAATACTCAACGCATATTATTAGTAAAAAGAGAAAGAAGCTAGTTATTAGTATACAAAAACATACACATGATGTTCAAGCTCTATTTAGTATTGCAAAACAGGCATCAGAAATAGGACAACGGTCAAAGGATTATGCTATACCACTAGTAGAATATTATTTAGTCATTAGAATGATAATTATGAATATGAAAGGGATTATTTTTTTCCCAAATACTTCCTGCATAAACTCTGGTCCAGCCAGCCTGGTTTACTCGTCCATAAAACATTGAGTGCCTCCCACGTGCTGGTCCTCTGTGTTAGTTACAAGAGTAAAACTGGTACCTATGAGATGTTTTGGAGTTTATAAAGAGCTTTTACATTTGTCACTGAAGTATATAGCAGAGTGGTTCCAAGATGGACTCAAGTCAGACAGACCTGGATTGGAATCACCACTTACAGTTATGAGACATTGGATGAGTTAGATGATGTCTGTTTTTCAGTTTCTGTAACAATAATGATTCTGTACCTACCTGTGGGGGTTAGTGTGCCCATTAAGGAGACAATGCATGGAAACCTCAAGCCTGGAGCTTGGTAAACGGCAGGCTCTCAATTCAAACAGACAAACAACAAACAACTTTGAGGTAGCGGCAGATGATTCTATTATTATTGGAGACTTGCCCATGGTCACACAATCAGTGATGGTCACACAATCAGCAGAGGACAGCAGCAGAACTGGAATCCAGATTCATTCCTTTATGGTATGTAGAAGGCTGACTTTATTTAGTACATAAGCACACACACACACGAGTGCTCACACGCATGCACATCAAACTAACAATGCGAAATGCTATATATGGTGTTTAGTAACTGCCTTGTCCCCCAGCCCAGTTGCCAAATCTTTAAAACTTCCTAGACTTATGACTAAAAATAAAGGACTGGTTCTGCCAAGCATGACAGAGATAAATTATTATTCTTGCCATTGCTTCACCTGCAAGATGGGGCTAATGAAATTGCCTACTAGTTAACATAAGGACTAATTACATCTTTGCAATATGCTTTGAATTTCTTGAAGATGCCACTTGTGTGGCAGGCATCCATTAGGATGGTGTTCTTGCCTGACTGTTGTGACAGAAGATATTTGAGTCATCAGCCGCCTGTCAGCATCACTCGGCAGTGCCAAGCTTCAAAGCTAGGCAATATTGTGCTCTTAATTGTTGGTCTCCCTCCAGTTTTTTTAAAGTCCTTTTTTTAGAGAAACAATTGGAAATATACTTCAATACAGCAGGAAAGACATAGTTAAGGTCATCTTTTCTACCTTTCAATCTTTCTAAAGTTTTTGACATTGAACCTGTTCTTTTCTGAACAAACCTCCTTCTACATATTTTGAAAATTAATTTTAAAATACATAGTACATATAATTGGGACAAAATTTAAAAGGTATAAAAGAATATGCAATAAAATATCTCCTTCTTACTTCTGTCTCCCAGCCTTGAGTTTCCCTTCCCAGAGGTAACCACTCTTCCAAGCAAATACTGTGTGTATATTTGTGTGTGTTTCTGTACAATACAACTGTGTAATGGCATAGTGTGCACATTGTACTATATAACTCTTGTGTCCTTATTGCTATGTTATTAGAGACCATTCCATTTTGGGGTGTAGGAAGTTATTGTTTTTAAATAAAGGTTGATAGTATTTGACCATATGGATAAACCATAGTTTAATCAGTTTCTTATTGATGGATAATCAGCTATTTCCAATTCTTGCTATTTCAAAAAGTGTGGCAATGATTCTCCTTGTGCACTTAAAAAAAAGTTGGGAGTCTATCTAAAGCTTAAATTCCTAGAAATACATTTCAGTATTGCCAAATTGTTTGCCAGAGAGGCTGTACCAATGTATATTTTCACCAATAATTCAAGAGAGTGCCTATTTCACCCACACTTACACAATTTTTCCTAGAACTTGGCCTAATCATTACCTGCGTGTTTTTAAGTGACTTGTGTTAATGACAGTAACACAGGGACTTCCTTACAAGCTAAGCAATTAAATTCTAGAACAAGCTGTTTGGGAGCATTGGGGAAGTCCTCTATTTAAGATAGCTAAGAATAAACCACCTTTTTATAGCTCAGAATAGTTTATCACAATATATAGTGATTTTATAGAAACAAAAATCCTGAATGTCCATCTAGTCTGATGGTTCTCAAAGAATGGTCTGCAGATAACTTGGATCAGAATCACATGGTGGGAGGGGATAGGGTTTTGAAAATGCAGATTTCTATTTCTAAAAGTGATATGCTTTCATTGTAAAACATTTTGAAAAGAGAAGCACAAAGAGAAGAGTAATAATGTTGATGATCCTTTAAGGCCTAGACGTGAATTTATCTCATTTGAATCTTCACAACAATCCTATGAATGCAGTACTATTATTCTCCTCTCTCCCATTTTACAGATGAAGAAACTGAGGCACAGAGAGATTATAATTTTTACAACATGATATTGCTAGTGAGTGGTATAGCCACAACTTCAACTTTAGTGTTTCTAAAGCCTGAAGTCGAATTCCAGAGCACGCACTCTCTGAATTCTAGAGCACAACCTAGAAATAAATACTGCAAATTGGAGTGTGTGTTGTTTTGTTCTTGGTGGATTTTTTTTTTTTTTGCATCTGTAATTACGATTTCATCAGAGAAACCTTCTTTAGCTTTCCACCTAAGCTAGATAACCCATTTTCTCTTACTGTACCTTGGATGCAATGGTAGTGGATACAAGAAGATAGGGAGATGCACAGAATGAATCTCAGGCAGTATCTTCAAATATTATGTTATTTATACAATGCTCTAGCTTTTATTGTATATCAAAATTATCTTATAAGGTTGTACTAATTTATATTCCCACCAGCTTTGTATGATGAGGAATTTCTTCATATATTCACTATGCTTGATATCCATTAGGTCCCTAAATGTTATATGTGTTTATCAGACTGTGCAATATTTAGTGCCTTTTTATTCTGTAAAAACTTTTTGTTAATAAACATCAGGGATGTTGTGCTGAGAAATGTTCTCTAAAGTAATACATTGTCGGACACACTTTGTTGTTTGAAATTTTATTGGTGTAGATGGAAAATCCCATGCTCCCCCGATGGATCTGAGCTATATGGGTCATTTTGACACATGATTTTCAATCTAGGTGCAAAGCTTTAGATGAGGAGTTTTCAGACCCAACAGTCCACATTTATCCTAAATTTGAGATTTCAAAAGGAAAGAGGACCCTGGGTCTGTTTCTCAGCTCAGGCCCAGGTTTGATGTTAACACTTTTACACACAGCACTGCTTTGCTTTGAGCCCATCAAAACACTGCTTCATTTAAATTTTACCAAAATTTTACTTCACCCACTCTTTTGATTGATGAAATGGTCCAGGTTCCTTTGGAGTGCAGTGTCCCTTGCTGCAGCAAGTAAATAAAACTAACTCTGGGCTACAGGTGTGCTCCTAGTGGTCTTTATTGGATGGCTTAATAAAAAAAAAATTTTTTTTAGCGTAATCAAACTTAAACTGCAGGACCCACATCTGAAAATAACAGGAAAAGTTCTATCTCCCTATCTTTTTACAGATTCTTTTAAGAACAAGGTGGATTCTGGGCGCCTGGGTGGCTCAGTTGGTTACGCGACTGCCTTTGGCTCAGGTCATGATCCTCGAGTCCTAGGATCGAGTCCCACATCGGGCTCCCTGCTTAGCGGGGAGTCTGCTTCTCCCTCTGACCCTCACCCCTCTCATTCTCTCTCTCTCAAAAAATAAATAAAATTAAAAAAAAATTAAAAGAACAAGATGGATTCTTATCACTTATAATTTAAATCCTACTTGATAGTTAAGATCATTTCTACTTTCAGTCCCTCCAACATTCCAAGCTGGTTGGAGTGGCTGTTTTCTCGGCGTGGAAAACTCCCCAGTTCTTTGCTGGGGGGGGCGGTTGGGGGGTGGTTCAGCTCAAAGGTCACCTCATCCAAGAAGTTCTCCCTGACCATTCTCATCTAAAGTAGCCATCTTTCTCACACTCCCCTGCTCCCACCCCATCACTCTACCGAATCATCCTATTTTATAGTCCTTATTTTTTTCACTCTCTGAAATTATCTCATTCACTTATTTAGCTGTTGTCTATCCCCATTAGAACGTAAACTCCAGGGGAGAAGGTACCACGACAGCTCTGCTAGTCGCAGGATCCCCGGTGCCTAGAACCTTACCACGCACTTAGTAAGGCCTCAACAAACATTTGTCTAAGAACAAATGAGGAACTACGTACTTTATTTTCCTCCTTCTTTTTTTTTTTTTTTAATAATTTTTTTATGCTCCTTCCTTTTTTAAACACCGCTCGAGAAAACGCACCTGGATTACAAATCCGGCTTGAACTCTGTAGCAGGCGTTCAGCCTCGCCATTGGCTGGAGTATTTGCCGTTGCCCCTGGCAACCACTGTTTCCCACCAGTCTTGTCTTCTCCCCGCCTGGCCCCGCCCCTTACCGCTCCGCCCCCGGACCGCCGAGCTTCGGCCCAGTGGCAAAATCTGTGCTTGCCCTTTAAGCGGCGGGACTTCTGGTCAACGTCTTCCGCTGGCCGCCGGAAGGGGAAGTTTCGCCTTCGAACGCTCCCTCGCTCGTCCGAATTCGGTGGCGCCACGTCCGCCCATCTCCGCCTTCTTATCCGTGGCTTGGGCGGCTTCTGCCTCGACACCTTCCACTCACGGGGCGGGCCGTGTCGTGAGGGGCCAGGGACGGGGAGTCGGGCGGCTGTGCGCATTCTGGCCACTTAAAAGGCGAAGATGTCGGATATCGGGGACTGGTTCAGGAGCATCCCGGCCATCACGCGCTATTGGTTCGCCGCCACTGTCGCGGTGCCCTTGGTCGGCAAACTCGGTCTCATCAGCCCGGCCTACTTCTTTCTCTGGCCCGAAGCCTTCCTCTATCGCTTCCAGGTACTGACCAGGGACGAGGGGAGTGCAGACTGCAGATCCCAGGAGGCCTGGCGGCGGCGGAGCGTAAACCAGCATGTTGCGGGCGCGCGGTGCCTGGTGGGATTTGTAGTGCGACCGCTTCGGCGGTTTAGGGCGGGTCCTGTGGTCTGGGGGCGGGGTGGAGGCGAAGGGGTCTGGAGCTAGGGCCAGGATGGCTGGAGAAGTGGGTTTGGCCTGGTAGGAAGGGACTGATTTCGCCCTTCTAAGATTATGCTCCCCGCCCTCTGCATTCAGAGAAGGAGGCGGAGGGAAGGTAATTCTGTGATAGTTGTTAATCTTTTGGACGCCGGTGATTAGCAGCTTGGGTCCACCCGGAGCAGGTGCCCTCTGACCTTGCTCTGCCACCCACGTGGGTGCCATGTGGTTGTCAATTTACTCAACATCCCGTTCTTCTTGTGTTAATGGAGTTGTTTTTTTTTTTTCTTTGTGGGCGTGGTTTGAGGTCAGATGCAGAGTTGTTTGTCTGCGTTTCACCCAGTCCCGACCTGGTATCTGGTAGTAGTTAAATGTATGAAGGACTGAGTAAAGAGTAAATTGGTCCGGAAGTAGAAGGCCTAGTTATTTGTTTAAGCAAGAATACTGTCCAGAGTATTTCTGGCAAGAGAGTATTAATTTCCCAGAGATGATCTTTATTCACTGGATTCTATGATTTAGATTTTTAATCAGTGGCAGGTCAGATACCAAGATCTGACATTAATTTGAGCACATTAGTTGACATGTGGATAACACTGTCTTGTCTTCCCCCTCTTTACTGGTTGTTTCTTAGTCTCTTTTGCTGGTTCCTCATCTTCCTGACCTTTAACTGTGATATGCCCCAGGGATCAGTTATAGGACCTTTTCTCTATACTCTCCCCAGCTGAAGGTGATCTCATTTAGCTCCATGGTGTTAAATACTTTCTATACACTGAAGACTCTCACATGCAAATATACATATTTTCAGTCCAGATTTGTCTCCTGATTTCCAGCTGTCTGTTTGGAATTATCACTCGGATGACTAATAGGCATCTCAAATTTAAAATGTCCCAAACCGGATACCCTTTTCCCTTTGCCCTAGAAGTATATGGCAATTCCATTATTGGAGGAGCTCAAACTAGTAGTCATAGAATCATCTTCGACTTCTCTTTCTCCCACATCCCACGATTTGCCAACTAATTGCTCTATTTTAGACATATATCCAGAGTACAGGTCCCTTTTCATTCTCCATTGCAAGCCATTATCATTCCAGCCCAGTTCTTTTCTGTCTTTTCTCTAGACACCTGGAATGGTCGTTTTAAAACAGAAACCAAGTCCATCAGTCCTCTGCCCCGAACCTTCCAATGTCTTCTCAACTCAGATAGGTAAAATCCAAGTCTTTTCAGTGGCCTGCAAGGCCACCTACTGCTGCTCTGACTTTATCTCCTACCACTTTCCACCTTCCTTGCACATTCGGCTCCACAATGGAATTTTTGTTAGTCCTTCAGCAGCCAACTCTCTCCTCAGGTCATTAGCGCATGTTGTTTCTCTGAGGAAGATTACCAGAATTACTTCCTTACCTTCTTCAAGTCTCTTCCCCAGTGCCGCCTTATTGGTAAGGCTTTGCAGATTGCCCTACATAAAATAGTACTCCTCCTTCACTCCGTCTCCTTTATCCTTAATTTTACTTGCTATATATCATCTGTTGGCATCTGTTAGTTGGCTTCCCTTCAGAAAATCAGGCTCCATGAGAGCCAGATTCCTGACTTGCTTACTACTGTCTTTGTTACCTAGAATATGCCTGGCACATCGCAGGTGCTTTCATGTTGGTTGAATGCATGGAAATAACTGGCACTTACTAGTGTTGGACACTGGAGCCACAATAGTGAATAGGACAGAAAGTCCCAGCTCCTATGAAGAAAGGGAGAGAGAGGCGTGTGATAGATAGTGACTTAACATTTGTTAGAGTGTTCCAGAAAGGCTTCAGAGAAGATATCTGAACTGAAACCTGAATGTCGAGGAGCCAGCTTTGGGACGATCTGGCGCTGGGGACAACTTTCCAAGAAGAAGAACTAGTTAAGTGGAAGGCTGAGAGGCAGGGCCTAGAAACAGAAGGGAGAGTGGATAGCGTGGTCCAGAGTCAGCTACAGGGTTGAGGATTGGTAGGTGAGGACAGAAGTAACGAGGGGTGAGTATGGTAAACAGAGCTGCAGAGGTAGCCTGGGCCTGGATTGTACAGGGCTTCGTGGTTTGAACTTTATCTTGAAGACACTAGGAAGGCTCTGGAGCATTTTGAACAGAGGACTGACAGCATTGCTTTGACCACTCTGTGGGATGGACTTGATATATGCCATGGGGGAGAGGGAGGAATCCAGTTAGAAGGCAAGAGAGATGGTGTTTTGGGCCAGGGTGGCCGCAAAGATAGAAGTGGATGGATTTGGGAATTGAGTGGCCAAGGCTGCTGCTGAATGGATGTGAAGGGGGGGTGGCGGAAGGCAGCAGAAGTCAGAGATGTCACTCTTTGCACAGTGGATGGTGGAGCCCTTTACCAGGATGGGAAATGTTTAGGAAGGCGTAGGTTTGGGGGGGGGCAGGGCGTGGATAAAGAGTTCTGTTTTGGCCCTCTTAAGTCTAGAGGTGCCTCTTAGGCATCCAAGTGCAGAAGTTAAGTAGGCAGTTGGATGTCAGAATAGGATTTGGGCCCGTAGCCAGAATTGCACACTGTTTTCTATTTATTTGCTTTTGGTAATTACTTGTGACCTAGTGAATGTTGTGCATTTTGTGCCTGGTGAGTGGCATGCTGGGTAATGCGTGTACGTGAGGAGCGGTGGTTGTAAATCCTTTTGTGAGAAGGATCAGGTCAAAACTGGCTCTTTGACCCTCCTTGCAACATCTTGCTCACTTGTGTAGTCAGACGAGTAAAATAAGAAAGCCTTTCTAAGAGACTCCAGGTAAATATTGACAGTGGTAACGTGATTATTAGGATCATCATTCATGTCCCAGCTCCCATGCTTTTCCCATCTTCCTCACGTTGTTTCGTCCGGGCTTATCCCGAGACCAGGGAGATTGTCCACGTGTGAAAAGGCCAACGTCTGTATCTTCTTTCTGCTCCTCTGGCTCCTACCCATTCTGGACAGATTTAGCTTTCAGACCCACCTGGAGGAACTCATTTGCAAATGAAGCAGTTGAAGGAAGAACTGTATCTGAGAGGCAGATGTGTGACAAACAGCGTGTGATGTGCTTTCTGCTAGAGGCTCATCTTTTCCTTAGAAGCTGAGTCTTGAACAGCTTAAAAAAAATTGGGGATGAGTGATTTAGAATTGTGGATCCACGTTGGAAGTGATGAGAGTCACTTCTCCTTATCTTTCGGTCTTGTCTGAGTACTTGTTGGTTTGGAACTGCAAAATTTAAAATGTTATTTTCTTAGTTTGGGTAGGGGTGTTAATACTCACTATGCTGTTGTCCAAAATTCCTAGTCCCTCACATTTCACACTCATCCATCAAGTAGTTCATAATGATGAAATGTCTTCGTGTGGATCCTTGATCAGTTAGGAGACAGGTGGTAATTTCTTGCAGCCCTGGTGGTTTCTGAGATTATGTCTCCTGGGGCCGCTGGTATCTTTGGACGGAATAAGCTCGGCCCCTTACATGTGTATTGTACTTCTGTGTTAGCTCATTCAGCTCCCACAGGCATTCCGAGACAAGTATCACTGCAGTGGGTAGACAGCTGCAGATACGGTTTCTACTTCCGTGAGTCAAAGATAGTTCTGAGCTGTCTCGTTCAACTCCTTCGCATAGTATCTACCAAAATACACAGTTCAGTGTTTAGCAAACATTCTCGAGGGTGATTTCTTCCAAGTCAGTTATCTACTTTCCCTTAAAATAGAAAGACCATGGGATTTCAAGTCGTTGAGTCATGGTTCCCCAGGCCTGGCTCAGACCCTTACTAGTTCTCTGCCCTTAGGCAAGTTACTTTTCCTTTCCGAGGCTCAATTTTGTTAGCTAAAAGTGGGGATAGTTTAATACCATATGAACTCTGATCTAACTCCATTGATTATAAGATGTTTCATCAACTAAATACAGCTTTTTGGAGGGATGGGAGAGTAGAAATTCCATTAAATGAATATGTTGATTGTAAGCCACCTCCTGGTTTTAGAAACACAAAAACGAGTGTCCTCAAATTGAGGAGGTATGTTCTCTACTTCATGCCGCTGTTATGTAAAATTCATAGAAAAATGAGAAGCGCCCAGTAAATTGTCTGGTAAATAATCTATTCAAAAATAGTGCCCATTTTTATTTACTAGCCAATTCCTGCCATCATTGCCTTTTCTCTGTCGGCAGGAAGATTCTATTCATTTTGTAACTGAAATTGAAATGTAACTGCTGGATTATTATCCCGTATTTTGCCCCCTTAAAAGCATCCTGACCTTAGGTGAGATGAGATGAACTCTCAATTTCGAAGATTTGTTTTCAGGAATCATGAGATGGCACCAGCCACATCTGTGATTCGGGCCTTGTGCTTATATTTTCCAAGCTTTTGCTTATGTTATCACCTTTAACCCTGGTGACAGCAACACTAGCAGATTAATCAGAGTGTATTGGGGATGGCTGAGTAATGTTCCATTATATATACATACACTGCATCTTCTTTATCCATGTGTTGATGGGCTTCTGGGCTCTTTCCATAGTTTGGCTATTGTGAACATTGCCGCTGTAAACATTGGGGTGCAGGTACCCCTTCAGTTCACCACATTTGTGTCTTTGGGATAAATACCTTAAGGAGGGCACGAGATGTAATGAGCACTGGGTGTTATATAAGACTGATGAATCACTGACCTCTACCTCTGAAACTAATAATACACTATATGTTAATTAATTGAATTAAATAATAAAGTATAAAAAAAAGCGTATTGGGGAAGAGAGACCTATTACACACATAACCCAGAAGGGACATGAACTTGGTCTATAGGCTGAGCATAGAAGTAGCCTCAAGGTTTGGATTAGAGCTT